AGCAGGTGGGATAGGCAGAGTGCATGAGGTGCTGTGCACTTTTTGTCATTAGTCTCCAATGGCTTTATATAAATCAGGTTACTCATCAGAAGGCCAAGGAGCAACAGTGACTTTGGCAATCTAATTGTGGCAGTATTAAGTTTTGTGATATATTTGTATGAGAGGAGTGCTGCAACAGAGGCCAAACCACCGACTTTTATAGGCTTAGTCACTATTCAGGGTTCGTTACATTGCTATTCTCCTGTTTATTCTGAGAATGGTGATTGTCATACCTTTCGTTGCAAGGATGTAATTGCATGAGCTCTTTAATTGTTCAGTGTGTACTACATTCTATGTTATGACTGCAAGTGTTGAACTGATTTTTTATTTTTTTTTGCCTGTCTTTTGGTAACTTCAGAAGAGCTGCTGTTCCTGGAGGTCAGGCTGTATGTTAATTCAGTCCGTATAGAAACTGTACTGTCTCCTCCAAAATCCTGAGCAGTCGACCTGTATTGATAGGACAAGGGGTGATGGGTTTAAACTGGAAGAGGGGTAGATTCAGACTAGAGAGAAGGAAGAAATTTTAGCAACGTGAATGGTGGAACAGGGTTCCCTTTAGTTGTTAATATTGGGACACCATATTGCTCAGTGTGGCATTGAACACAATATCAGATTATTTGTCTTTGTTTCCCCATCTGTTAAGGGTGTTTTTCAGGATGTTACCCTGTAGTGTTTGTAGTGGTAGAAGTATGTAAATCTCTTTTTCTGTGGTGGATGCAGGTGGTTTTTACTTTCAGTGGTTGTTAGTAGGTTTCACTTTAGTGCTTTATTGTTCTTTCAAATGTTGGTTTTCTGAGGCATACCAACAGGCAATTAATGAAGTTAAAAAAATTTGGTGTATCTGATGTGATTGTCGCATTAGTATAATAACATTAGTTAAAGAAAAGGGGTACTTTGCTTGAGGTTAAATGTCAGGTTGAGGTCTCTTTAATTCGTGCTTTTTGAAAAGATTTAATTTCATATGAAATTTCTTGTATAAAAAGTCAAGTTCTTTCTGTAGGCTGCTGTCCTTTGTGTATTTTCAGTGACACCACGCTAAGCGTGGCAGCAATGAAGCCACGAAAGTAGTGATAATACAAATGATTACAGAATCAGGTTGGAAAAGCCCTTTATGACATCAAGCCAAACCGTTCCCCCAGCACTGCCAAGCCCACCACTAACCCATGTCCCCAAGTGCCACATCCACACGGCTGTCAAATCCCTCCAGGGATGGTGACTCCACCAGTGCCTTGGGCATCCTGTGCCACAGCTTGACAACACTTTCTGTGAAGAAAGTTTTCCTAATACCCAACCTAAATCTTCCCTGGTGCAACTTGAGGTCGTTTCATCTCATCCTGGCATTTATTGCTTTGGAGAAGAGATTTCATTTAGACAATTAACTTTTGGATGTTAGTTTCCTGGTTTTTATTTGCTGTACTTCAAATATATATTATACTACCTGATACTAGGATGATGGAACACTGGAATGGGTTGCCCAGAGAGGTTTTGGAGATACTCAGAAGCCACTCTGACATGGTCCTGAGCCACTGACTCTCAGGAACCCTACTTGAGCAGGGAGGTTGGACAAGCTGATCTCCCAAGGTCCTGTCTCACCTCCACCACTCTGTGCTTCTGTGGTATCTGTGTAAACCACCTACTGGATTGCTGAAATTAATTGCTTCTTAGAAATATTTTATTACTGTTTTGTAATGAATTTTCACTTCAAGTGCAGGAACCCAATTGCTCCTGTAACCATTTTTGTTTTCTTTTCCTCCTGCCCTAGTGCTGACTTAAAGCTCTTGGAAGAAGCCACAGTCTCTGTCTGCAAGGCTTTAGGTGAGAAATTGTGACATATTTTTTCCATGTGCTTTACCAGAAAAATTAGCAAACATCATTCATGTGTGCATCCATGTCTTCAGTATTCTTAACTCTATTTGTATGTGTTCCGCTATGAAGACTAAAGTAGTGTAAAGAGTGTGTTTATGTGTATCCCAAACCTTTAGGAGCTTCCATCGTTACCTGTTTTGTAGAACTTGTTATGACTGAAAGCTGTTTGCAAAAACCTGCCCAGTTCTCTGACAGGCGACTTCTGTGTTATGGAAGTCTTTGGAAGGAGGCAGTATGAGCTCCACATTTGGGTTGTTTTGAGTCTAGAGTATACAGTGAGTTTAGAGAGCAATAATGGAGTAGTAAAGCATGTACTAGAGAATCCTGAAAGAGCAACAGCTGTACAGAAAAACAGACATACAGTGCTTTATGGAGAAATACTTAACACATTGAAATTTCATTTTTTTCTATATTGTGTTGAAACTAAATGGTGTCAACTTACACATGCTATATAATCTTATCTTATTTTTCCTCATCTAGTTGAGAAGAATCCTCGAACAGGAAACCTTGGGTCATTGATTAAAGTCTTTCTTTCTAGAACCAAAGAGTTAAAAATTTCAGCAGAATGTCAGAAGTAAGTCCCCAGAAAAAAAGCTCAGTGTGCCATTTCACTTTTTTAATGTTCCTTTTGCTTCTAGCTCTTTATTTTTTTCCTTTATTAGCATACTCACAGACCAAACTGTAGAATTCTCTGAAATTGTTCTTTGAAATCAAGTGTCTAGTACTTTTCCAAACACAAAAGGTTAAGTGTAATAGGTAAATCGATTGCTGGGATAAAAAGACATGTTTGTGTGTTAGATAAAGACATTTGTGTACAAATGGTGTAAGTTATGGTTGCTACTAGTCTAGACTGGTTTAAAAATCACCTGAACTTTTTAGCTCAATCTTAATGTATGGGTCAGTATTTTATTTTGGAAATATTTAAAATATAGGTAAT